TTGCTCAGGCATTATAATTAAGCCTTTTATATCTATGTTTTTATGATGGAAAAAAAATTATAACTATATTTATAAAAATAAGTTAAAAAGGAAAAAAGGTAGAACAAAAAAACAAAAATGAATAAAAATTTAAGAGAATATTTTAATTAAAAAAATCATAATAATTTCAAATTAAAAACATAATACTGGAGATGATTTTGAGATTGAATGTTTGCATGTTTTTTATTAATAATTTTTGTTTGCGTTGTTAATTATCTTGTTTCTTGATACTTGCATGCCCCTTTTTGTGTAAAGGATGCTATTATCTTTAACTGTCTTTTTTTGTTTTGGTGCTTGTTTGTTATTTTTATAATAATTTGTTACACTCGGGCTACCACTTCATCAATCAATTGGATGAAAGAATTTCTGGTTTTGTTTCTACAATCAATATTTTATATAACCTGGCGTCGTAAGAATCAGTTTGTGGTTCCAGCCATCTTTTGGGCTATTATATAGCTGTTTAAACCAAAAATAAAAAATAAAAAATAATAATTTTTATAAAAATATTCGACAATTTATATTGAGCTCGAGGCCGTTTTAAATGAAAATTTTTATTGTGGAAAGCAACAATAATTAAATAAAAATATTTCAGAAAAATTCTATATTATTTGAATTTTATTCAAAATCAGCCTTATTTACTAAATAATTCATCTTTGCTCCATGTATTAATAAACCAAACGCATGCCTTCTACTCTTCCTCAGATGTAATCGCTCAACCTTACAAACAACAACGCTGTTCCAGTCGCTTAGAAAATGCTTTAGAGCATATGCGTCGACGTAGTATACCAGCGAAGAGTTCACGGTCCTTTTCTGCTGAAACTCCATATACACTTTATCAGTCATTTTACGGTCAAAATAGTGATCCAGAAGATGATTTTTATTCCGGTGGAGATCGTGGCTACTATGCAAAGCACATACAGCGACACCCTCACAGCGATCCACCGCCTTTTACTGGAGGGCTTGAAGACCTATTTTCCTCAGACTATGGTCAACGCCAACCTCATAAATTAGCTGCTGTTTCCGGTGTCGATGTTGAAGATTTACGAGTGCGATTGCCCGCTAAAACCACCAGCCCACGTTGGGTCGAAGTCGACAAGTGTAGATTCAGTACACAAAACTCAACACTCGATACTCGTCTAATTTTTCCCGATTTAACAATTAGCGGCAAAGTGGTGCTTCAGCCGACTGGCGGTAAATGTCACATGATTTTACGTTTGCGTCGAGCAGGAATTGAATTTCGTACAGTACCAATTGGTTTTGAGAATGCAGTGATGAATGAGGAATCGCGACGTGCTGGAGCCGCTTCTGTGCGAACGGATTCTCATTTTGCCGAGCCTGGATTTATTTCAGTTTTTGCACATGGCTGTCAAGGGCCTTCCGGTGTTAGACTACGTCAAAATTCCAAGCGCCGATTTGGGTTTGACAACGATCCAGGCGTGCAGGGTGGTACAACGAAGAATCCAGTGGTGGCTCTCTCGGAGCCTCATCTAATCTTAGGCACTGGTGCAACGCATAACACACAAACATCTGGAAATCGTTGGCGGAAATACCTAAATCCATACACTTATGATATACGTAGTGAATCCTTTCAGAGAACGAATCGTGCAGATCATGATCGTCATTGGCGTATGAATGAACATTCGAAGGAGCAGCCATTTTATGATCCTCCTTATGATGAAAAATCTTACCGTAAACAGTTTCGTGCAAAACGAGATGTGAGCAACTATCACCAGCGATTCGCTCAGACGACGTGGAATGATGAATTCAGCTTCAATGATGACATACTCAATGTGTCAGACGACTTGCAAGATCTAATAGCGCCAGATGCAAGAGCTTTTGCAGATCTCTACGCGGATGTGAGCCAAGAGCATGAGACCTTGGATAGGCAAAACGTACGCGATCGAGATGAGGCGGGCGATGCTTTCTCTAACGAGTTGGAGAAGATATTTTCAATGGGTGTACGCGGTTTACTCACTACATATATGCAGCGTGCGCTTCAACCGGCTATTAAAGAAACGCTAATGGAAAATATGGGCTACACGCTGAGCTATGGCTAATCGAAGAGGGAGGGTTTTCGCGTTGGTTGAATATTTATGTATTTATTAATTAGAACTTGGTTTATTTAATATATTTAGTAAGTAACATGTTTTATTTTTAAAGAAATTGCCTAAATGTTTAAACTGAATAAATTGAATAAGTTTATTGATGTACGAAGGTCTTTCAGTTAGGTATTCACATCTATATAACTATATAGGTATGGCTATGAGAGCCAGAGGATCCTATCTACAAAATTTAGTACTTTTTGAGTAATATGAGAATGAGATGGATCTGTAAATAATAAATATGGTCTTTTACTGAAAAGTGCATTGCACCTACATGCATACGTGTTGCTACCCTACTATAGTAAAAGAAAACAAAAAGTGCGTGCCTCGGGCTACAACTATTTCGATTCTAGTAATGCATTTTAAGCTGTACCACATTTTTTAATTTCTTTTAATTTCAGCAGGACTGCCAATTTAGCTTTTTTCCAGTCAAATCTGGCTTTTTCGAAGTCCATTTAGCGGCAGGAAATGAGAAATTGCGGGAAGCGGGAAATTCAGTTTTTTGACGGATTTTTAGCTTTTCCCTTATATACATGGTTACGGTGACCAGATTTTTGTGGGTTTGAAAAAAAAAAACAAGCAATCTTAACAAGTTATTACAAAAACCTTTGAAAAATGAAGCAAGAATGATAAACTGTTATGCACGCCATTACCCAGAAATTAGCAGAACTTGTAAAAACTTAGCCATCTATTGAGTTTAGATTTTGCTTCACATTTTCTTAAGTGATATTTCAATTGCAATAACTAGTATCAGTGGTTGTGCGAAGTTATGCTTAGTATGCATAATCGAACCTTAATATAGCGAGAGTAGCAGTTTGACAACGTTCCCATAACAGTCGGGTCTACGTAACTGGAACGACCTAAATTTATATATGTACAGTTGAGCGCAGTAATTTAATTTCGAAAACTTTTATGCTTCCTTCGTATTTAAGAAACTAAATACTTCACAAAACCGAGAAAACATAAATTCTAAATTCTATTAATTTGTTTGATGGCTTTAAAAGAAAAACATTAAGAGAGTCCTACCAGTTTGAAAATTTCAGTTTATGTGAATTGTCAAGATAAAGTAAATATCGCAATATGGCTGTTAATTTAAAGAAACTTAAGAAAGCTTTCAACCGAAAATATTTTGAAGAAAGAGGTGAGATAAAAGATGTATGTAAATCGATGTGTGTTTGCAGGAAATATTAGGTAACCGGCCCTATCTCTAAAAGCTACCGACTCCCTGTATGTATGGAGTCGAAGACGTCGATAACGATGTTTAACCGCAGATTAGTGTTAACCAGACATTGATAAAGCGGCCCTTAGTGGTGTTAATTTAAACAGATAAATTTGCCTTTCGTATATGCGCATATTTTTATCCACTGCTTTATATAAATGAACAAGAATCTTTGTTGCCCTTATCGAGAAACTTGGGTCCGGTTTAGTTATTCGTATAATGGTTTTCGGTTGTTGTGTCCAAACGCATAACCCGAAAAACTTTAAATACACGAGTAACCAATGGATTAAACTTTAATTCAAAATAAATGTTTCAAATTTCCAAGCAATAGTTTATCAATAAAGTCTGTTAGCACTATGCACTTTTTTGTAAATTTCGATGTGGGTTCTGCGCAAAAATTATGTGGATGGCGTAGCCGGAGTTACATGCATAAGAAATGTTGTATGCCTTTGACATTCGGAAGCCCCTCTACTCCGGCAAGGCATAGATGCGTCCATGGTTACTATGCCCAACAGCTCCGCATGTCTTTGTGAATTCACTTCCATAGCACGCTTTTACTCTGCTGCTTTAACTGCTAATGGAATAGAATCCTTCGTTTCATTCAAAATATGTAAAATCAAAAAAAAAGTTACCTTAAATAAGCACTTGATGAATGTTTTGTTTTAACTCCTTTCCACTTTGTTTTCCTTCATACAGTTGCTTTCGAAAAACAACTGATAGCTGGAAATGCTGCACAGTCCCAAAATGGTCGGTTCTACGTTATCGGATTGACTCAGAGCACCCACTCCGACCAAGGACCCCAGCAGTAAACGCCCCCCGAACGTCTGCACCTACGTCACACCCACACCGGCGCCAACACCGGTGACAACACCAGCGGTCGGACCACTACACCTACAGCCAGCATAGCAAGCAGTTCAGGTAGCGCGACAGTACTCCCTCACCCTGCGAAACACCATCTCTAGGCCCAACTCTATAAAATTATCGCAGTTCAATTGCATCGGACTCCAAAGCAAGATCGCTGAGATAGTGACAAGGCGTAACAAAATCTCAGTCGCGGCGGTCCAAGAAAATAAACTCCACTCCGGCTCAAGCCTTCAGAGTCAGGATGAGCGCAACGTCATCCGAATAGACCGTCCTCGCGGCGCCGGAGGCAGCATTGCACAATGCGGTCCAAAACCAGCTCATGTTACCCCCCAAATTGTTGCCAACGACACACTCATTGAGTGCCGAGGTTTCGCAATCAAGTCGGGAGATACTGATCTGGAAGTCGTCAACATTAGTGCGCTACTTAAAGGCGGAAACCGGGTAGTGCTAGGAGATTTTAACGTGCACCACGAATTCTGGCACTCTAAGCTGGGCAACGACCAGCGGGGTACACTACTCGCAGAACAACTTGACGACTCAACGTTTTGCACTGTAAACGACGATGCCCCCACCAGGGTCGCTGGTGACTGCAACAGCTCGCCAGATATCACTATAGCGGGGGTCTGTTAAATTGCATTGGATGTAAATCAGTGCTCCCGCTCACATCAGACCACCTGCCCATAGTAATCGCGATAGACCACCCAAGAGATTTTGTTACATCCGAAGACCGTACGTATATGAACACCAAGAAGGCCAACTGGGACGGTTTTACGGAACACACAGACCGCAAATTCAATGCTATTCCACAACCAACATGCGCGGGCGGAGCTGAGCGCAACATCCGCCGGATCATCAACGCAGCAGCCGCCCGCTTCATACCAGCCGGTAGAATTGCCAAAATCTGCCCGGGCTTTCCAACTGAAGCGGCGGGACTCGGAGATGAGCGTGATCGAGTCCGTTAGCTTAATTCCGGTCATCCCCGTATCAGGGATCTCAACAAGGATATTAGCAAACTGGTAAACGAACTCAAGCAGAAAACGTGGAACGAGCACCTAAAGACTTGCAATCTCTCCAGCGAATCGTAAGGACAACATTGCCCTTACATTGGGCGATACCACCACGTCGGACCTACGGACGTGCGCACCCTTTTCCAGCTGGCAGTTTATTGCAAACCCGGAGAGAGACAAAGCCCGCCGCAGTGTACACACAAACTCCGCCCCCGAGACACACTAACGTGTTCTACACTAAAAGAAACGCAGGCAACTGCATAGAACGCCAAAGAGTCCAAGGCGTTAGGCCCTGACGGAATATCGATGCAGATTCTGAAAAAGCCAGGAACAGCGGGAGTCGAGTATATCACAGCAGCATTCAACTTCGCACTGTTCACCCTGATCACCGATCACTGATCTCACCGACCAATCTCCCTCCTATCCCCAGTGGCAAACACAATGGAAGCAGTACTCCTCTCCAGTCTAACGAAGCATCTTCAACTAGCCCAACACCAATACGGATGCCGCAAAATGCACAGCACGACCACTGCATTAAACGCCATCACCATACAAATAAGCGAGGGTCTGTACCAACGTCGACCCCGTGATAGGACGGTCCTAGTCGCGGTGGACCTGTCGAAGGCCTGCGACACGGTAAATCACGCAACCCTTGGCCAAGACTTCCTGGACTCGTCGCTTCTGGATCGGACGATGCGGTGGATAACCAGCTATCTGTGTGGACGTCAATAATCGGTCGAATTCCGAAACGCTAAGTCCAAGCCGCGTAGGATTAAACAGGGGGTCCCCTAAGGTGGCGTACTCTCCCCGCCACTGTGCAACCTCTACATGGTGAAACTCCCTTCGCTGCTAGTAGAAGTTAACTTGGTGAGCTACGCCGATGATTGCACGATTATGGCGACGGGCCCCAATTTTGACAGTCTGTGCGGGAAAATCAGCGCCTATCTCACCGATCTTGCAAATTTCTCCCTTGCTAGGAGCCTCACCATCTCCGCCGCGAAATCCAGCGCCACACTGTTCACCACCTGGACAAAGGAAGTTAGACCAGAGCTGGACGTCTACGTCGATGGCAACAAAATACCGAAGGTCAACCACCCCAAAATCTTGGGATTCACGTTCGACAGCCTATTCTCCTTTTCTGCGCACGCCTCAGCCACTTGCGAAAAGATGCTAGCTAGGACAAAGAAACCCTACTCACCACGTACAAGGCAATCGGCCGGTCGGTGGAGAACTACGCAGCGCCAGTGTGGACGGCAGGTACCAGCGATACACAGTGGAGAAACCTACAAACATGCCAGAATGCAGCTCTACGCACGGCTGCAGGCTGCCATCTCATGTCGTCCGAGCAACACCTACACCAAGAAAGCGAGATGATGGCGGTGAAAGAGCACAACACGTTGCAATCAAAGCAGTTTCTCGTGGGGTGGGGCCACAGACTAAACAGCTATCTCTCCCGGCTGAACCCATAAGTGGCAGACACATGCCCTGCATGCGTGCATGCATGGGTGCACAGCACCCAACACCTCTTCGCATGTGCCTCTAACCTCACGACCCCGACACCAGAAGCGCTATGGACCGCGCCTATCGACGCCGCCCGCTTTCTCGGCCTCAGACTTGTCGAGTGAGAGGACGAAGACGACCCATGACGAAACCCCGGGGGGTTGAGTACTGCTGCTCCAACAACAACAATGCTGCGCAGGTTTCCGCAAGGGTTGCAGCATGTCGATTTTTCGTAAGGTAGGGGTGTAAGTATGTATCCAGTTTTGTTCTACAACCGTGCTTTTAGTTATATTAGTTTTGTTCTAGAATTGTAACCAAATCGGTAATTTGCACTGTTAATAATAATAATAGATTGGCGCTTACACATATGTTAGTGTTTGGCCGAGCTTCTCCTCCAACTTGTGGCGTGCGCCTTGATATTGTCACACAAAGCGGAGGGACCTACAGTTTTACGCCGACTCCGAACGGCGATTGTATTTTTATGAGAAGCTGTTTTTCATGGCAGAAATACACTCGGAGGTTTGCCATTGCCTGCCGAGGGACGACCGCTGTTAAGAAAAACCTTTTTCTAAATTTTTTGCGATGTTGCTTTGACCAGGGCTTGAACCCAGTTGCTGGTGAGTGAAAGCGCGCACTGCTTACCACTACACCACAGCGGCCGACATTTGCACTGTTGGCACTGATTTAAAAGAGACAGAAAAATTGCAGAGGGAATTTGTTCACTCAAGATTATCTATCAGTTAATAAATGCTAATGTTGCACTATAAAACTGGATGAAAATCTTTAAAAACTTCAAACCAGTGGAGTTGTGTTTTAAAGTGTAATTTCAAATTGTTGTTAACAATTACAAATCCACTTATATTAACCCATATGCAATGTGGGTTACCTTTGGTTTTGAAATGTGTGGTCATATTTATTGTATGTAATATATTTTTTTTTGCCGAAATTACGATTTTTTTCAGGGTAAAATGACGATTTTTCAGCAACAGCTTTCGGCAACGCTCTGCATGGTTTCGATTGTGGTAAAGGTACTCATCCTGAGCCAAACCGAATCAAAACTCATTACACAAAACAAAAGGAATCATACCTTTAGTGCTGAGCAAATTAATGTTGCCTATGTAGTTAGAAGACTGGTTCAAATGCTTCAGTATCCCTGCAAAAAGTGGGACTAGGTTAAATACTAGTACAGGACCACGTTACCTTGTAACCAACACTAGTAACGAAAATGGTCCAAATATATGGAAAAAATATGGTTACACTAACATTGCGATGTCATTGGACCACCTAGACCACTACTCCTTTTGGACCATGGCACATTCCGCAACCGAATCATATTGCCGATAGGTCACGAAGAGGTGGTGTTCAACGCATATGTATATCAGTTTATTACGTTTGGAGTGGTCCAGGTCAGCATAACAAGTTACTAGTATGCAACCTGGCCCTTTTGCACATACATACTTTAAAAAAACTACAACCCAGGGACCACCTGGACCTCAAATTTTTGCAGCGAGATTTCTGAGCATTGTGTGTGTGTGTGTGTATTTAAGTCTTTGCAAAATGCCCCAGTAAGAACCCTATCTGTTAACTAATGCGTTATATACGCCTAGTACTACAAAAAGTTTGTGTGAGAAATTCAAAAACTTTCCATCATTTTACATAGGGCTCCTGGAGAAATCTAACGCATAATCGTATCACGTGTGAGCAGTGTTCTCTTTCTTTTATATGGAATTCGCTATTACATTATCCTATATATAGTGGTCTCTTTTCAATCAAATATTATTATGCGATTAATAACGTATTATATAACGCAAGGAATCGCATATGGATATCGGTAATATGCGAATGTGTTGGTTTTTATTGACAATTTTGTAAGTGTATTGGAGAATACGTTAGGTCGTTCTTGCTGGGGCCACGTCCTCTGATATGCACAATATGCACATACAAACATATGTACACTTGTATGAATACTAGGGGATCACTAAACGTATCGTTTCGTTTTGTCTTGTGAGCACTAACTTTATGTTTCGTTTGTTTCCCTATTTCTCTGCATTCAATTGTTTTGTTTGCGTTAGCTATCGCGAACGCTAGCAGAGTAAAGTTACCGCTGTTTCCGAGTGATTCCATTGGGGTGTGTTTTGTTACCTTCCGTTACCAAAACGTTTGCTATTGTTTGTTTTCGTTCTCAGATTCTGAGTATACAAATTCGTAACTTTTGTTTGAAACTTTTTTCTTGCAAGTTCAAATCGTCCTGGATTTCCGAAATGAGCGGAAATGTTGTTATTGGAAAACGGAAAAATATGAATTATTAAGTCGAGGATACTTTATCTTTTGGTCGTGTTGCCGACTTCCGGTTTAGACCGGAAGTCTATTCCAAAAAAAAAGTTACCGATACAAGCTATGTGTTTTTATCCGCAGAATGTGATAGAAAAAATGTATTATCCATTCAAAAAATGTATTTCCGGTTAGTTTAACCCACTTCCGGTCTAAACCGAAATTCGTTGAGATTCACTAATTTCAAAGTCCGGGACTACTAGTTGAAGGTCGAAGGTTCGAGGAAAAACTTTTGAAACAAGAGTTATGTATTTTTATCCTCATAATTCAAAGCGGAAGTAAAAACATGTATGTCTAATTAAAAAAAAAAAATTGACTTCCATAATACCACCAAATGATAGAGCACTACCGATTCGGTAGGTCATATTTTTGCGGTTTTCAATACAAAAAAAAAACTCCTTTTTACAGGGGGTGGAGCGGTGGTCCAGGACAATGGAAAAGAAAAAAATGGTAATCACATTGTAAACTAAATGATGTATTTCGGAACGAATCTTCGTCATAACTTGTCAAGTTTTTATTGGAGACAGACCGGTTTTGGGGTGTGCTATCGTGGGTGTAAATGTCTCATCCTGTCATTTTTTGGGAGTGTTTAAGAAATATGCGGCCGCTTTGATGCAGTGGTTAGCAGTGCGCGCCACCATTCCGCAGGTTCAAGCCCGGTTCAACTCAACATCAACAAATAAAAAAACAAAAAAATTGTTTTTCTAATAGCGGTCGTCCCTCGGCAGGCAATCGCAAACCTCCGAGTGTATTTCTGCCATGAAAAATAGCTTCTTATAAAAATACAATCGCCATTCGGAGTCGGCGTAAACCTGTAGGTCCCTCCCGTTTGTGTGACAAGATCAAGGTGCACGCTACAAATCAGAGGAGAAGCTCGGCCAGACACTAAAGCTGATGCCAGATAAAACTTTGTAGCTTTGCGTGACATTTATAACTTTGCCAGCAAAGCGCCAGACGCAAAAGGTATGCCACAATGAACGCCAAGAAAACAATGTTGTACCGCTTTTTTACTCATCAAAGTTGCTGTGGATTTTAATTATTTTGATTTAAAATTATCAGCAATGTAATTAAGTTTTATGTTTCTGCATGAAAACCCGAATTTGGACGAAACAAAATAAATATTAAACCGGCTGATTGTCAAAGCGCGCAAAAAGATGGGAGTTGACCATCTTTTCGCTTCGCGCTGCCGCTGCAACGATTTATGTGGCATGCTTTGTGCATTTTCATACAATTCATCTTATCTGTCAAAGCGAATCTGTCACGTAAAGCGAAGCAAAAGTTTTATGTGACATCAGCTTAACGTATGTGTGACCGCCATTCTATTATTATATTGTTACGAAATATGTAACATTTACCAAAAAGCAAAAAAAGCAAATTTTAAGTACAGCTTGCAATTCTATTGCGCAAAAAAAAAACACGTTGGATACTAAAGTATCATTTTCAACTTTTTTTTGTGGGTTCAGACACTTATCAGTCTGATACCAGTTATCGAATATGTTTAGTTATGTGCATTTTAATTTTACTGAAATATATCAATTTTTTCATTTCGCAAGCAATTCATTTGAACTGAAATAAAACCAAATTAGTATGGGACCACCATTGAGGCACCACCTTTCCGATAGAAAAATAATTATCGAAATGGGTTGACGCAAGTGTTGGCAAAATGTTAATCAGATTAACGATTAAAAATTAACGATTAATATGTTAATCGCGATTAACGATTAAAATTAATTGATCGTAATCATCTGTATGATTAATGACTAATTTGTTTTAATCGTTAATCGTCGGTTGTGATTACGATTAATTTTAATCATCAATCGGTAGTCCGATTGAAAAAAAATCTGATTAAGTGGTCTTGTTTGTCTGCATTTTAAATCAAACACCATATACGCTTATGAAATACACATAATTCTTATATAAACAAATAATAATTATAATTTGTATAACATAAAATGCGAAGTTTGACAACCCATGGCACATGTGCAGAAAGATATAAAACCTAGTTTTCATAACGTCTGCTGGTAATAGATCACAATCAAAATGCATACCAAATTGCTTAGATTGATGAGGGAAACCGACTTAGCTATACCCGATTAACTGACCTTGTATGCAAAAGACAATTCCAGCATAAATTAATTAATCACCAAATCTACTTAATCAAATTAAGGGTTAATGATTAAAAATTAATTTTTTTAATCACGGTTACGATTAACTATTTAATCAGATTAAATTAAATCACGATTAACTGTAATTCGATTGAATTTAATCAAATTAACTAATTGATTAAAAAATCAATCGATTAGTGCCAACACTGGTTGACGCAGTCCAGTGTTATGCGGCAACATACTTATATAAAAAAATATTCCGACGAATTGATAACCTTCTCCTTTTTTGAAGTCGTTTAAAAAAATAAAGAAAACCAGATTTCTATACATCAGCATTCGCACAATGAAAAACCAAAACAAACCATGATTGTACTTAAGCTGGTTTTTAAGGTTTGTGAGCTTCAGCCAAATTATCTTACCAATTTATGAGTATCCATTCGATTTTTTTTGTTCATTTAAACTTTATATAGATACATAAGTATGTGTGTATATTTTATGTTAACATTTTGTTTAAATTATTTCGGTTTAAATCATTTTACACATGTATTTATATTTTTTCTAACATCCACCACGCACAATTTTTAATTGTTTTTTATTTCCACAGTTTATGTCGGACTTAAGAAAACAAGATTTAACATAGAATTGTTTTAATGTTGATAAATTATAATCTTTTCAAAAATACTTCTTAGTTTATTAAATACTCCGAGATGTATGCTACGCTTTCCCAATACTTGCCGCTACTATGTTAAGGGACATTCAAATGCAGTTATTTTAGTATCACATCATCTGCAGGAAGGCGGAGCATAAGTTGTATGTAGAGATTTGCCATACTGCGCATGCTTATACCTGCCCATTTGCTTTCCTATTGGTCAAGAATTGAGGACCTGTCAGACTGTTTATACATAAATTTATTTAATACGATTTAAACAAGAATGCATGTAGTATGTATGTATGTATGTAATTGAACATATGTACATACATATGTATATATCTTATGCTTATATATAGATATGTTTATACGGAGGTACATACATACATACATATATATCGTTACCTTAATATAGAAAGGCCCTATCTCACATCGGCGCTGAAATACAAAAGGCCGTAACTAAGTAAAAATCCAAAATTCCCTTTTTAATATGATTCATCGAATTATAAGTCCGCATATCAACTTAAGCTATACAACAATTTTAGTTAGTTACGGTTATTTGCATTTCAACGACTATATGAGTTAGGCCCTATCTATATTAAGGTAACGATATTAAGGTATATCAATCTACAAATAATAATGTATGGAAATGCTTACATATACTTACATATATACATATGTATCTACCCAGGCAGCAAAAAATCCGAAAACGTAAAAAAAGTCGATGAAAACCGGATTTTTGTCCGTTTACCGATTCCATTTCCGGATACTTTAATGATCCGTTTTCCCACTAAAGTGTGCGGCAGAAACGTATGTACAGAAAAGTACCGAAAATGGTGGTGAAAACGATACGTTTTCGGCTGTTTTTTTCTGAAATTTGTCTGATTGAATTTTTCGCTTTCCTTCTGCACATCACAGATACTTTTTCATGGTTCAAAAGAAATAAAATACAAGTAATTTTTAGCAAAAAAAAAACCGACTTCAACTCCCATATAAAAAAAAATATATATATATATATCTCATGATCCACTGATCGGATCTCAACCAGATTAGCATGGGACCACCTCTGAGACACTACCTTGCAAAAAGAATTATCGAAATCGGTTGACGTGGTCCAAAGTTATGCGGTAACATACATAAAAAAAAAAAAAAAATATTCCGACGAACAGATAACCTCCTCCTTTTTTGGAAGTCGGTTAAAAATTAGGAAGCGCTTGACGGAATTCGAACCCGGCAGCCACTGCCGACTACGCATGCATGCTTCCAAATGTTTAGTTTGAGCAAATAGAATACCATTATTGCTTTCAAATCACATCATCTTTTTCGAACATTTTCCGGATACGAAAGTTGACGATAATTGTAGGAGTTTTTGTTTCTTTGCTAGCTGGGTAGTTACTTTTATTATTACCTACATTAACATCACTAGTTTCGAACTACCCCGAAAGAATCATCAAAAAGTATAGAACTAGTCTCAAAATTATTCCAGACTTGTCCAGAACTAGTCACAAAGTGGTCCAGAAGTAGTCGCGAAATGAGCCCGAGCTAGTCCTAAAATGGTCCTAAACTAGTAGGAACTATACCCGAAATGGTGCTGAAATCGCCCTGAACTATTCATTTGTACACACAAGAAGCAATTACAGGCTTTCTGCTGGGTTAGCGTAAATTCTCCAAAACCGTTAGCTAAGATCAAGAACAAAATGTCTACATACACATACTTGTGTACATACATATGTATATACAAACATAATTATGTACGTACTAGTGTTCACCCGAAGTTTCAACTCCGCTATTTGGCCAATTCCAGTCAGCTCTAGAACCATTTCAGAATAGAACTCGGGGGCGGGGTGCATGATCTCCTCTCCCTTCAGCGTGAAATGGCCACACACTCCAGAAGGAGATGTCATGTAGTCTCCTTTGCAGTGTCACAGAAGCGACATAGGTCACTGGAGCATATTCATAAGTTTTACAGGTGATCTCTTAACTTACACTGGCCTGGAAAACAATCTGCTATGGTTCTTAGTTTCCCCTTAGGGACGCCTACGAGTATCCTATATCTTTTAAGATTGTACTCTCCTATTAAGCTTTTTATTGACGAATTCCCATAGTATTGCGCCAATGCAGTTCCCTTAGTCTGGTGTTTTCTTTTTGGAGCGCTTCCTCTATTGTGTTGGGACCTATTGAAAGAAGAAAATTCTAGCAAATTGATCCGCTTCCTCATTACCTTCGACTCCCATGTGCCCCGGTACCCATAACAATTAGCTGGTCTTGTTCTCAGCCAGAGCATTACGCCTCTCTACATACTTCAAGACCACTGGGGAATTGATTTCGAAGGAAGACAGAGCCTTATTTATATGGGTTTTTCATTTCTCAGGGAGACCTTTCCCTGCTCGTCAGTGAATAAAATCTGAATTTTAGATTCAAACTCCACATTAGGGTTTTCAGCAGTGGGAAATCGTTACGCTAAATCTCTACCGCTAAAAATATCTAAATGAATAAGGATTGTGCCTAAAAATAGGTCCAAGGAAATAAACATATCCATGACGCCTTCGATTTATATTGAACATCTTTTCGTCGCCCGAAAATCAAATTATTGGCTTAGCTCGTTGAAAACAAGTCAACTGAAAATATGGTTTTGTAGAAATACTGAGGTTGCCGTAATCGTTACCTCTACGGTTGCCTCGTGTGTATTGAACAAGAAGATCACGTTGCTTCAACGGTTTCCCCGTGTGTAGTCGGCATTATAATTTTATTAGCATTGATTGGTGAAAATACATGAAGGAGACAGATACTATTTTTTTTGGAAACTCGCATTAACTGTTCATCTTTTATGAAGGAGCAAGTCCAATTTTCGGAAAATTTTTAACACACATTTTCTACTACAAAAACCATGACTCAATCTCCTTTATATATTTGCAACAACACTTCCCCCACCCTGTATACTTAACAAAAAATTGATTGGCAAACGGTGATATTTTCTTATAGGGTTCAATATCTGAAAATACCGAAATCCTCCAATTCAGCAACTACCCACGAAAACCACCCCTAACTTTTTACTTGACAGCTGCATTGACGTTTATTAATGTCATTTCAGTGATTGTGTTTTGCTTAGTACTTGAAATTTTTCATTGTCGTGTGATTTGGTTATATTTTTGCATAAAAAGTATTACATTAGCAATGATTATAAACTTTAGGAATCAAAATTTAGATTTCGAGGTATAAGTGTCAGGAATTTTCATGGGAAGCGATTTACTACAACATAACGTATGTACCTATTAAAATAATCTGCCAATTATGTACATTTCGCAAGTCAGCTAGTTTTTGCGTTATCTCGAAATGCTCGACAGAGTGGAAATGTTTACAGTAGCTTGTCATATTGTACCACATAAATTGCGTTTGTTATATAATTGAAGTTCACTTAATGTGTACTTAAAGGATTAAAAAGTCCTTGCAAGTCACTATGTTAAAAACAACAATTTAAGAACGTATATCTACATGAGCTTTATTATAGCGGTCATTACTCCATTTCGTTTGGCTAGTATCTATTAACCATGAGGAAATACGATGGTCATTGACATTTTCATCGACGTTCACTAACACAAATCTTTTTCATGTGCTCATTGTGTTTCTTTTATCTTCCAGGCCGATATGAACTTCACTTAGCTATTACCTTTCGTCATCCTCGGAGCGCAATGCTTTTTTTAAATTAGCAAATTTTACAATCACTGCAGCATTAATCTGAATGTACTCATCTTCAACACAGTTTGCAATTGTTCGCACTTTAGTCATTGCAACTGCTTCCACACTCGCTGAGGGTAAGAGCTAACATTATGAATCGAATTTCGGTTGCAAATGGAGCCGCTACCGGCTCAGGTAGTTCCATGGATGCAGCGCCATACATACGCACCATTGAATGGGATATGATGAACAAAGCAAAGTTTTTTCCACTTTCAATGTTAAGCTCGTTTTCTGTGCGGTGTTGCCTTTTCCCATTGACAGTGATAAAAACACAATTACAGGTGCAATATAAAAGTGACATATATAAGGGCATGATTGATTGTGCCATAAAAATATATCGATCAGAAGGTGTACCTGGGTTATACCGTGGATTTTGGATATCATCTGTGCAAATTGTTTCAGGTGTATTCTATATAAGTACATATGAGGGTGTGCGTCACTTACTAAATGAAATAGGCGCAGGACACCGTACTAAAGCACTGGTTGCTGGAGGCTGTGCATCGCTTGTGGGCCAAACTATTATAGTACCATTCGATGTTATTTCGCAACACGCCATGGTTTTGGGTATGGCAGCACATGCTGGCTCAGCACGAGTAGATATGAACCCACTTGGCATTAAAACGGGCCCAGATCGTAGCCGTTTTGCAATGTCAATGGATATATCACGTGAGATATTGAAGCGTGATGGCTTTCGCGGATTTTATCGTGGCTACACGGCAAGTTTAATGGCATACGTGCCCAATTCGGCAATGTGGTGGGCTTTCTATCATCTATACCAAGGTAATGAAAACAGCAATTAACCCGTTTAGAAATTCTTATTAAAAGTACATATGTATTCGCATTATTTTTATCATTTATATAGATGAGCTGTGCCGAATATGTCCACCATGGGTTTCGCATCTCTTTATACAATGTGTTGCAGGAAGTCTAGGTGGATTTACTACTACCATAATTACTAATCCGCTTGACATTGTCAGAGCACGTTTGCAGGTAAGTAATTTGGGTTTTTAACTCATTATTTGAAGGCTAACTCTCTTGTCTTCAGGTTCAACGATTGGAATCAATGCGTGTTGCATTTCAAGAGTTATGGCGGGAAGAGCACATGAACTGCTTTGTTAAAGGACTGTCCGCACGCCTTGTGCAGTCTGCGGCATTCTCCTTTAGTATAATTTTGGGCTACGAGACAATAAAACGGATAGCGATTGATGAACAATATAAACACCAAATACGTTGGTAGATTAATAGAATGTTGTCATTAAATGAAACTGGAAAGTGCACAATTATGTTACCACCAGGAAAATTTTTCACCCACCCATGTCATACAATAAAATGCATTTAGAGAATTCAAATGGATATAAATTTACATAAAATTACATAAGCGTAAATCAAGCCAAGCTAAGGAATATGCAAAAGCATGCCAAAGAAAATAATTGTCTCCAGTCTTGTTCCT